AAAATTTGAAGAGTTTCTCTCTACATCCTAATAAATTTAGCACATTGCCTATTTCTTGTACCCTTTCAATTAGATTCATTCAGTAATTATACTTTAAAACTTTTTATAGTGGAAATGTAAAAAAAATAATAGGCATGAAAGTACAATAAATCCCATGTACCCATCACTGAGTTTTAATGATTATCAATTTATGATCAATTTTATTTCATCTCTACCCCCATATCTCTCATCTAAACTATTTTGAGACAAATCCCACATATAAAAAATTTAATTAATTAAATTATATTATACTCCACATAGCATTAATAAAAATGAGTGAAAGAGAAATTGAGAAAGAAAGAGAAAATGAATGAAGAAAGGAGGGATGGAGGGAGAGGATGAGAAGCATAATTTGCTTATTATTTTATTCTTGCAAATGTAAATTCAAATGAATAACAAGAGTTTGATCTGGTGCAAGTTAGTTTGCTTTAATTTGGAAATGATCCCGATTAATGAGTATTTACCTTCAAAGAGTTCAGTTCTGCTGAGAATCCACTGACCCTGATGCCTGTGTACTTCAAATACTTTTAGATGGAATTAAGACTCTGTAAGAGTATGTGCTCTTACCTAGAATGGTGGACAATATGGAAACAGAACCATTATATTCTGAGTTTCCTTGCCACTTAAAACAAACAAACAAAATAAAATTCAGTATTTTTCTACCTATGGCTTTATTTTGTTGTGTTTTCATTTTGGCCAGAAGCCTTCAATAAAGATAGAAAAACATAAAATTACAGAGATTAAATATAGACATGAAGCAATGACCAAATCACATCTATAATCAGGTAACCTTCCTATAGTCTCAGATACGGGTGATCATTCCCTCAGCTCACAAATAAAAGACCCCATTCTTGTGGGCAGTGGGTAAAAACACATGGGTTTATCGCGGGTTTTACTAATTGACCTTGGACTCTGCTGACCTCCAGAGGGAGCCCTATGGCAGTCAAATCTGAGACTCACTCATGAAAGGTCGAAAATTAGTTTGAATTACCAAGGCAATGTTTATGGAGTGTGGCAACATTTCTGATAACCTAAGCTCACGTGTTGGCATTCAATAGTAGCAATTTTAGAATAGCAAGCAACTTAAGTAAGCAATTTGGTGCCACGCCATGTAGCCTCATGAACCTATTGACAAGAGCAAGTATTCAAGCAAAACAATCTCTAATACAACCATTTGCCTCTGTTTTGTTTTTCCAAATAGCAATCACAGGGTCAAACCAACTGTATTACTTGGGAAATTCTTTGAGCTAAAGACATGCAGTAACTTAGAGTAACACAACTCTGAACTGCTTCAAAATACTGCCTTGATGGTACATTAGGATGTGTGTGTTTGTCGCTCAGTCATGTCCGACTCTTTGTGACCCCACAGACTGTAGCCCACCAGGCTTCTCTGTCCATGGATTCTCCAGGCAAGAATACTGGAGTGGATTGCCAATCCCTTCTCCAGAGGATCTTCCCGACCCAGGGACCAAACCCTGGTCTCTTGCATTGCAGGCAGATTCTTGGATATACATGTTAAATAAGCCATTGTGAGATTCTGAAGCTCAACATTCTCATCCACACAATATCTTTGGTGGAAGGAAGAGTAATTTGGGAAAAAAAAAACAAAAAACTACCACCGGCTGATATAAAGGAGCAAGGATCTGTTATTTAAAATCATAGAAAATCTAAAGTCTTAACACTAGTTCAGACTTGAACTGCATTAAGCTTTCTGTGTCTCATAGTTTTCTGTGTCTGCATTCTATAATATTAAGGGTCTTGAGTCGTATGCTCTGACAATGAGAGTGATGAATACTACTGCTTTGTATTTATATGATACTTGTACTTCAGAAAACTCTAAAGACCCTCAAAGAGTAGGTAAACCTGTCAAGTAGATATCATACATACTTTATTATTATTAAAGAAGTAACTCACTTGTTAGCTAATGTACAAATGCATGTATAATGTATGATGCTTTTTAAATATGGCTCAATTGAAAGAAGGATAAAGAAATTTCTCCTATAACCTGAGAACCACTTAGATTATAAAACTGATATTTTATGGTTAGAATTCATAGCTTTCTGAGAATTCTAATAATAAAATATCAATTTTTCCAGTAGCACCCCAAAGCAATAAGATCAACTGTCTGATAAGATTGACAATATCAACTGTCCAAGTGTGACATGCCATTCTACTCTTTTCTTCTGGGAGTACAAAGCCACAGGATAGGCAGAAAAGATACAGGAGAGAAGAACCCAAACCAAGGAAACTGGTGGCATCATTGTGGCATCAGAGAGAGCTGATAAGTGAAGAATCTTGGCTTTCGGAGGATTCTAATTCATTTTTAAACAATCTGCAAGCAAAAATGCCAAATATCATTCACCTCTTTCTTGACCCAACCAGACTTCACCTCTTGTATTCTGACTTCTTGCTTTTTTTTTATAAGCAAAAAGCAAAGTACAACATGCCCATTATGAATGACTAACTTGGTGGTGTGTCTGGGCTTATGGCTGATACAGCTGGTGTTATCTCATATACTCCTATGACACGCTGCTTTCAGCGACACTGGCTTATTTCCAGTGGAAACTGGAGAGTCACAGTCCTCGGAGAGCGGAAGTGTAACTAAATACGCAGTGTAAGAGCATGCTCTTGACTCAACTGCAGGGCCATTGCCCAGGACTCACTCAATGATGCACGACAGTTGGACACAGAGAATCCAGGTTCAGTGTTACGCAGTATGAGCTCTGGGGCTCGAAAGCTGGCTGATAGCCTCTATGGTCAGCTGAACATTCCTTTTCTTGTGTTTTTTCCAGCTTTATATCCATTCATGAGTAAGAGTGATGGAGGCATCAAGGGGACTTCGTTGAAACACTAGACCTTACATTAGGATAAATGTAGATTTGAGTCCCCAAGCAACATTTCCCAGTGAGAAGCCTACAGAATGAAAAAGATTTAAGAGACTTAGCAACCAAATACCATGGGTGGACTTTTGGGTCCCAATTTGAACAAAATAATACCTGGATATTTAATTACACTAAGGAATCATGTTTAATTATTAAAAGGGTGACACTTTTATTATGGTTCCATTATTCAAAGTCCTAGCATTTTAGGATGGAGAAGGCAATGGCAACCCACTCTAGTACTCTTGCCTGGAGAATCCCGTGGATGGAAGAGCCTGGTAGGCTGTAGTCCAAGGAGTTGCTAAGAGTCGGACATGACCAAGTGGCTTCACTTTCACTTTTCCTTTCATGCCCTGGAGAAGGAAATGGCAACCCCTTCCAGTGTTCTTGCCTGGAGAATCCCAGGGACGGGGAAGCCTGGTGGGCTGCCGTCTATGGGGTCGCACAGAGTCGTACACACCTGAGGTGTCTTAGCAGCAGCAGCATTTTAGGAAGACATATTGAAATATGTATGAATGCAATGATGTCTGGGATGCTTCAAGTGGTGGAGTGAGGCGGAAGGGGGTTGTTATGAAACACAGATTTGCAACAAGATTATGCATGAGCTACTAATGACTAACTCTAACCAATGAGTGCATAGGACTTATTATGCTATATTCTTTTTTCTTATTCAGATAGATAGGTAGATAAAAAATTTCTCATTATAAAACACTTTTTAAAATATCAATTTTTCCCAAGGGCTTGCTTGTAGTTTTGTGGGGTATTTGATTTATTTATATAATAATATGTTTAGTGAGACCCACAATCTGATAGAATATCAGTAGCTTTATGTAACTCAGCAAAACAATACCTCAGTCCCCTACCATGACCATTGTGAAGCAGGAGATAATACCAGCCATTTAAAGCAGAAACTGGTTCTCTCATAACAAGAATCCTCTCTTTCAGTGTAGCTAAACACTTCTCTAAGCTGTTACACTCTGAGGTACTTAAAAAACTGCAATAGATGAATAATATATTGAAATTATATATATATATATACATATATATATAGTAAAAGCAGTTTGATAAAAAGCATAAGAATTATGAAAGAGCAATCATGCATTCCGTAAGAGCTTTCATAGCTCTGAGTACTCTTGGGGAACTCTTGGGTACCTCAGAGTGAAATGAGGATTCCCACCAGGATCTGACTACGAGGTAAACTTCTAGTTAGGGTGTCAACTAGATACCCTAGCTGTTAGCACCAGTTTCCCTGGTGCCCTGGAAGATGCGGGTTCCAGACTCTGGCTAAACAGCTCTGCCCTTCCCTTCGTCCTGACCCACAACCTCATTTCTGAATATATAAGACCTGTGAGTCTTGAAGGGCAGGATCTACCAGCATTCATTAAAACTTCAGGGGTAGTAGCTCCCAAGTTCCATGAAGGGTGTTCAGGATTTGTTTTCAAGCTGTAATGAAATATGCTTTTATATGCTATAATATAAACGATTCTCAACATTTCAGTAAAGTGTGCTATTTCAGCACAAGAAAACACTGGAAATAGCTTTGGCTTATGATCTGAAAATAGTAATAGTAATCTGAAAATATTTAATCTAAGGGGAAACAGAGATAGATCTGTGGAAAGATAACGTTTTCTGTGTTTATTTTTCTTCCCGAACTCCAAATAATTGCTTTGGCAGCAGGCGGCTCTAAAGCTGCCCCCTTCTGAAGACTCAGAGGTGTTTCCAGAAGTTGAAAGTTCTAGCAGTACATTTCCATGAGCTCATTAGCAGTTCCTTTAGTTTTCACGTACACAAGTGAATAGCCACGTGGTAAAAACTCTTGCTTTGAGCTTTCCCTTTAATTACAAAGCAGCAGAAGTCAGATATGTGATTACTGCAGTATCAGGGCATCTTTTTAGAATCCTGCTTTGGTCACTACCATTCAAAGCAACTCTAATGCCATTTTTCGCCGGCCTCTTTATGCTAATCAGCCTAGCCCATTCGGCTCCTCCTTCTTCCAGACTCCCTTAAGAACTGTTCACTTTCAGCTGTCACAGAGGGTAACTCAGACCAGGCTTAGAAATCACTTGATTTAGCTCAGTAGCACTTTTTTTCTCCTTTGTGTAAGTGTTACTCTGCAGTCATCTCTAAATACTCAGGACATTAGCTTCACATTAGCAGAAGGAGTCGATAATTGCGAGACTATAATCTGTTAGAAAAAGTGTTACTTTGCAGGATTTTACACTGTAAGGGGGGAAGTTCCAATGTGCTTTGAAATGAAAGAAGAATTAATTGTGCTTTTATCCAAATGAATTGACATCTTTATGTGTAGGAGAAGCTACAAGTTGGTAAATATTTATTTCAAGAATCATGACTACGAAGCACTTGGAAGTGCATTAGAGAAGTAAATGCTTTTCCAGGCAAGGACAGGATCTGCTTGTACCTCTGTGGCTGTGGGTAACGTGTGAACACCGTTCTTGGTGACAGGCCAAGGGAAGGGATACCCTACTATCCTGGAGCCACAGCCATACAGCCAGTACCATGTCTACCATACAAAGAAATGGCAGCAGCCACCTAGTCAACAGTTTGCACACCTGTAGACTGAAGCCTCCAGAGGAACAGCAACATCAAGGTGAGTCAGTCAAGCTAACGGGTGGTATGTTTTGTGATCTCCTGTCCATTTGCATTCTTGGAAGGATGGTGGGCTGGGGAAGTACCTGTTGTGAATCTCTGTTGTGAAATGCTTTGCAATCTTCCATTTTTAAACTCTGAGAATAGACATAACAGTGATGCCTAAGGGTGAGTTTACTTGTATTCACTGTTGGTTTTTAAAGGGCTACATAAGACCATAGAAAATGCCTAGTCCTTGGAATTGTCATTCTGAAACACATGTGGTTACATTTCCAGGCACTGTCTTTTTCTAGAGTTTTCTGGATTTTGTGTAATTCAAAACACCTATCTAGGTAAGGCTGAATCAGCTACAGGGGGAATCTGCTAAGAATGGCTTTAAGTTAGTCTGGACATTCTCCCTTGTCCAACCACTAATGGTACCCTTTGGGATTAAGAGCCCAGTCTTGTATCAATCTCTGGCTCATTCATTTATAGGTGAAATAAATACATTCTTGGGTCTTTCCCTCTTATGGCTCTGGAACAGATGAAGATAGACAGGGGAAAGTGTCACATTTCACAAGATGGGCACTCATTCAGACTGAACTATCTACCTTGCAGCCATTTTCACCATCAGTCTTAAAACTTCAGGTCCACTGCTCAGCCAGCTGCATCAGTTAGCAGCAGATGGTTGACATGAATAGACAGGATGATCCCTCAGTCCATTCTGTCAGGGACACCAAGGACAGCTGTAGAAAAGGCTGGGTGTCATGGATGACATCACCATCCAGATGTTAAGGATTTACCCCAGGTATTTCTAACTTCTCAATACCCTCACAGGCAGACAGATCTCGCTACAAGCTCTTTCTTTTTCTATAGACACAGTTTTAGATTTCAGTAGCATGGAGTGTGTTGTCTGAAGGGCTGAACCCTCCCATTTGTAAAGTGGCATCTGTGTGCTAGCATTCATGTGAACGTGTCAAGCTACCTTCCTGCTTCAGTCTCTGGACTTCATGCTGTCCAAGGCTTAGCACAGTGTGGGTAGAAAATACTTCCTATTAAATGAAAATAGCAAAAAATTTTAAGACCCTTATGAACCATCATGACTTGTATAAATCATTTTTAACTAACTGCCTTAGAATGTAAAGTCCTACGATGTGCCAGGGTTTAATCATAGCACTGTAAAATGTACTTGCTCCTCTATTAATGGACAATTTTAATTCATTTTAGGTTTTTTAGTTTGCTATTCAGTTTGTTTGAAATGTTGAAAGCTACCTTCCACCTCTCGCAATTGTTGATGTAATATTTACTACAGAAATCTTGCTAGGGGAAGCATAAAGGAGATGGTAAAAATCACCTACAAAAATTACCACCTAAACAGATGCTATTAACATGCTAGCCTCTCTTATATGCACATGTACGGATCATTCTTTTACTTAATTTTTAAAGCAAATATAGACCTATTTTGTTCATAGAGTTTGCAAACTATTTTTTAACTCAACAATTGAGTATGAACATATTCCCATGTCATCATATATTATTTTACAACCTTATTTTTAACAGTTGCATACTATTCCTTCACATGAATATAGTTAAATTCTTTCAGGTAATTCACTACTGCTGGATAGTTCAGTGATTTCTAATTTTTCACTATTACAAGCAACACTTGTTTAACATACACTAATGGATGAATTTTTGCTGAGATGAGATTATTCTCTTGGAAAACATTTTCAGAAGTAGAATTTTGGAGTCAAATGATATGTGTGTTTTTAAAGATTTCTTTTGGAGGGGGATAAATGGCCTTCTAGTCAGCAGTGTAGAGATATAGTCTCAGTAATACTGGGTATTATTTTCAAGTTGTTTTTTCCAATTTTGTAAGTGGAAAATAGTATCCCACTGTTGTCTTTATTTAAGGCAGACTGTCTTGATGGTCTCTCCCTTACTGGCCATATCCAGAGCAGCCTGGAAATATCACTGTGATGACATAATTCCAAAAATATCAACAAGATTAGAAGTCTGGTCTCATTTCTCAGACCAAAGCTTTTGCCTAGAATGTTTTGAAAGCAACCATATTCTTCCACAACTGAGTCTCAAAATATCTGCCCACATAAACCACAATCCATAAAGTTGTGAAGCATGCTAGTTCAATTCAGACTGGCCATTGACTGCTACAAGAAGTGTCATCTAGAGATCTGAGTTGACAAGTGACACTGGGCAGAGTTTGCCTTCCAGTTATAGCTCTGGAGTTTATAAGAATTTATTCAGTGTAATGGTTCTGACTTTTCCATCAAGCTATATTTGTACCTTGTTATTAAGCAAAGTTCAGCAAAGGCCCAAGGAAGCAAAGCCATTTGTTTCAGAGTGAGGGCTGGCTGTGGATTTATTCACTGAGGTATTCTGAGTGTGTGGCTTTGACCTATCCCAGCCAAACTAAGATTCCAGTATACAGACTAGGATTAATGGACCTTTAACTCATCAGCAGCATGAGCAGATTCAACACAGATGCACTTTCCAATAATCCTCCATGCTAGAGGCTAAGTAAGTTCTTTATGTTAAGTCTGAGGTATTTAGTGCTTTCCACCTAGTTCCTCACAAAATGTGCTTTTTGGGTGATCACATAAATAAAGTCACCTATCCTTCAGCAGTTATCTGGACAATGACTATCAAAACACTGTGCCAGATGCTAGGTAAGTACGCTGAACTAAGCTAACTAAGCCGCGTGCTTTCCTGTCCACATAGACTTTATTTCCACTGTAAACCTGAAACAGGTGCTATACTAGTCCAGAATGGAAGGCCAGAAAACTACTCTTTCTGCTGTTGCTTCTTCTGTGATGGTTCAGATCCATCTGCCTGTAACATCCATCTGAGACCACATTTGTAGACATTAATTCATATGTCTGTAAAGACTCGACACAACGTTCAGTACACATTACATGTCCTAGAGGGACTACATTTTACAATGCTTTGAAGTTCACAGAGTAGCATCACAGACATTATTTAATTATACACGTGTATATATATAAACGTGTGCATACATGTATGTAATGTGTCTGTATACATGCAGGAATGTGTGTCTTTGTGTGTGTGTACACATGTATGTATACATCTTATTGTACTGTTTCTCTGGAGAACCTTGACTAATACACTACCTCACCTGATTATTATGAGAATTAATTAAGATAAAGTCTGTGAAACTACCTTGTTAACCTCAAAGCATGTACATATATACATACTCTACGTGTACATGCTGTGCTATGCCTAGTCACTCAGTCATAGTGCGGGAGACCTGGGTTTGATCCCTGGGTTGGGAAGATACCCTGGAGAAGGGAAAGCCTACCCACTCCAGTATTTCAGCCTGGAGAATTCTATGAACTGTATAGTCCATGGGGTTGCAAAGAGCCAGACACGGCTGAGCAACTTCCACTTTGTACTTTTGTAGATGTAGATATAGATAAAGACACAGATATAGAGAGAGGGAGAGAGGTTATTTTTAAGGGACTGATTTACACAATTATGGAGGCTGGCAAGTCAAAAGTCTGTTGTGTGGGTCAGCAGGTTGGAGACCAACGTGAGGATCCAACCAATGTTTCAGTTGAAGTCCAAAGGTTGTCTGCTGGCAGAATTCCCTCTTCCTCAGGAGAGGTCAATCTTTTGGTTTAGTCAGGCTTTCAGCTGATTGGATGAGGCCCACCAAAATTATGGAGGCCAATCTACTTTACTCAAAGTTCACCAGTTTAAAAGTAAGTCTCATTCAAAACACTCTCACAGAAATATCTGGAATAACATCTGACCAACTATCTGGCATTGTGGTGCAGCCAAGTAGACACAAAATTAACTACAGGAAAGCATCATTATCCTCAGTTTTAAAGATGTGGAAACTGAGAATCTTCAATGTCAAGTGATTTCTCCAAGGTCACCTGATTATTAAAAGCTACGTTAAATGTACTGTTTGCTCTATGTAGCTGTCTTATAAAATCCACAATTTCTAGTGTTACAATATTTAATTTTTTTCATTGGTCCACATTAGAAAACCTCTGCAGATCCAAGAGGCATTGGGATACCTCCTGATTTTCTTTGTATGTTCTGATACCAATTTTTTGACACCAGCAGGGTGTCCTACAATTTAGTTCAATTCTAACTCTACCCAGAGTTAGCAAAAACATCAAGAGTTAGGGGCTCCGTCTCACAAGACTGCCACCCTTCAAATACTGGTTACAACTTTCAGGTATCTCCAAGATACTTACATTTCTGCCTGGCCCACTACACATTCAAGGTTTCTCACAACCCTCTCAGGTTTTAAAGTTTGCTAGAAAAATTCACAGAACTCAGGAGAGCTCTATACTCATGATTGCCATTTTATCACAAAGGCTACAAATAAATGGCCAAATGAAGAGATACATTGGCCAAGGTTAGGAAAGTCCAGAGCACAGGAATCTGAGTGCACCACTCTCCCAGGACATCAGTAAGTTCAACGACCAGGAAGCTCCACTGAACTCGGTGTCTGGAGTTTTTATATAGGATTTTATAATGTGGGTATGGTTGATTACATTATTGACCATTATTAAACTCAGTCTCCAGAAGATCTACATACATTTCTGTTTTCCTTTCACCAAAAAGGAACATCAAAGAGACAGTTTTGTTCTATCTGCAAGCCTTTAAAGTCACAGATTGGTAGTAATAGAAACAAATATAGACCATTTAAAAATTATCAGAAAGGGGAAAACTCGTATTCTGTTCATTTATCATGTTCAAACTCACACCCAGGACAGAAGTCTTTTCCATAATAAGCCTTCCTAATAGATGGCACATATGTGGGGATTTGGAAAATAAATGTAGTGACTTAAACTTCATTTTCTCCACCTAATACACATTAGGATGGCTATTATTTAAAAAAAAGAAAAAACAGAAAACAACAGTGTGGTTAAGAGTGGAGTAATTAGAACGCTTATGCTCTGTTGGTGGGAAAGTAAAATCATGCATCTGCTGTGGAAAATAATGTGGTAGTTCCTTGAAATTTTAAAATAA